TAAATAATTCTAACAGTGGTGTCTCAGTCCAAGTCCAGCTCGGGCTGGGGGCACCAGGCTCAGAATGACACCACAGACACCGAGGGACGGGATGGACTGTCCAGTTTGTGGAGCTGGATTGGGGTTTTTCCCCTCCCCCCAAAGGTTGCTCTGACCTGGGGCACGTGGGGTTTGTTTCTATCAAATAATTACCAAAGCTGGTATAGAAGCACAACACCCAAACTAATCCCTGGCTGATTTCTCTCTCTCTCTGGACACTTTTGCACACACAAATTTTCCTCGTGGGCTGGGGCTGGACTGGCAGAAAAGCTGAACTCTACGGAAAGAACAGCTCAGGGATGAGCTCCTGTGCACCCAGAGCAAAGGAGAATCCCAAACCAGGGATTCCTCCACTCCAACTGCCATCAAGACTTAAAAAAAAAGCAACTTTCCTTTCAGGCTTTTAACTGAAATAGCTGAGTGTTTAATCAGCAAACTGCAGTGCCTTTCCTGAATCCAGTGGTATTTGGGGATTCCAGATGAGTTCCACTGAGCTCCAGCAACAACCAGCCAATATCCAATTTTATTTCAGTGACCAAGACTGAACTCTGCAGAGGGCGGGGGCTGGAGGTGCAGCTCATAAAGGTGTCTGGGAGCCCCAGACAGGGCTGGGAGTCAAATCTGAAACAAATCCCAAGCAAAGGAGCTGGTGCAGAGGAGCAGAGGAATGTTGGCCTCAGGACCCAGGAATGTGAGCCTGTCCAGACTGCAGCTGGATGGGATGGGAAACCAGCTGGGAAAGATGGGAATTCAGTGCTGCTCGGGGAATTCTACATATTTTATACACTCAGAAAAACCAGCTAAAGGACAAGCAGAGCTGTTTGATGACAGTTTGTCTCTGCAGTGTGACAGCACAAATTCACCGAGGTCCAGGTGAGAGTGAGGGTTCCACACCAGGCAGCTGAAGGAATCAGGTGCAAAAACAACTGAAAGTTGGCTTATTCACCTAAATCATTCACCCAAACACCCTGTGCCCTTCCAGCAATCTGCACTTCCAACAGATCGAGTTTCCCAGCAGGACAGAGCCCCTCCCAGCAGGACAGAGCCCTTCCCAGCAGGACAGAGCCCTCCCCAGCCTGTCTGCAAGTTCACACTGCTCTTCCAGGCAGCCCCAGCCAGGGTTTCCTATCTGACCAGAAAAGGCTCAGGTTAACAATCCCACTAAGCATTTTTTTTTTCCCCACAGCGACAGAAAAGTGCTTTGACAGCTCTGAACTTCAGAGAATTCACAACCAGCCCCAGAGCTGGGGAGCTCAGGGCAGCTCAGGGGCTCCTGGAGAACACAGGGCACCTCCAGCACCTTCCCAAAAAACAGCCCCCAGTGGGGGATTTTTATGGCCTGCACCTGGGTGTCAGCACAGCCCCTCAGCAAACAGCACAGGGCAATGTCCTGGCTGTCCAGAACGTCACAAGCAGGAGCTCAGGGTTTGCTCAGCCCTGAGTAACTCAGGCAGCTCCGGGTTGGAGCCGACGCAGGCGAACCCTGGCAGAGCAGCTCTGCAGCTGGAACCAGGAGATACCAGTGTTTGCAGGGATAGATTGGTGTTTACCCAGCACTCAGGTGTTCCCGAGGAAAGGCTGGGCTGACTCAGCCTGGCCTTTTGCCAGAGCAAACCTCAGGGACCCCCTTTTCCCCTTCCCAGGTCTCCGGCGCTCCTCGACCACGGCTCTTCCCTCAAACACTTCAGGCTGTTCCCTGCGGTCCCAGAGCAGCAGGAGGGGAAGGCAGGCTGTGTTTCTGGGGAGAGGAAAGCCCCAGGGGCTGTGGGGAGGGGGGAAGGTTTGCTGGGTGTGCAGGTGGAGTGTGGGAGGGCAGGAAGGACAAACCCCAGAGCCAGTAAGATCTGAGTCAGCACCCGCCTCATTATCTGAGATCTCTGAGCAGAGCTGGTGAGACACCCGAGCAGCTGAGCTGGAGAGGGTTCACAGCCCTGCAAGGGGTTGGATTTGAGCTCCTGCAGGAGCACAGACGAGGGGGAGGCTGCAGGGAAAGGTCACGGCTGTGATCACCGGCGGCGTAACCGGGGGCTGCCGCTCGCCCCGGAGCTGCAGGGGCCAAGGACAGAATTCCCACGCAGGAAGGGACGGGATCACAGCCCACACCACGGCAAGGGAGAGTCCCAGCCAGCACAGGGTCAAGTCTCACTGCTGGCTGTGGATGCCAGGGAGAGCGGGCAGAGCCCAGAGCTCTGCAGCAGCACAGGGTGCAGCCACCCCCTCCCCTGAGAACTGCCCTGGGAGGATCAACTGTGCCCCAAAATAAACAATGCTGGGGAAAACAGGAGCAGTGCTGCAACTTAAACAAACAAACAGACCAACAAAACACAGATTTCTTCCCTTTCTTAGGCAAGGAACAGAAGCAGCAAGGCTGGTTGGTAGCAACAGGCTGAAGGGCCACCATGAAGGAACCCGACCAACCGCCTTGGCCCTGCTTTTCCATGATCCAACATCACCCCATGTAGGGGTTTCTGAGCCATTCTGCAGCACATTCAAGCTGATTCCCAGAAAATCACGTGCCTGCACAGTGAGTTCAGGACTAGGAAGCCTTCCAATGTTTTCCTGAGAAGGGCTGTGCTCACCACGCAGCGCTCACAGCCATTCCAAAGCCCCGCTGGGCGCCCGCCAAATCCTGACCTAAGGAGCAGCTCAGGAAGCTGCCAGTCATCCCTTCCCAGCTCTTTGTGTGCTCTGAGGCTGGAGGAGTCTAAAGTAGCTTCAGGCCGGGGGCAGGAGGACAGATTTTAGTGACAGAACCCACAGCATAAAACACTGGAGGAGCATTTGTGGTCAGAAATTTGGGCTCATGGGACAAGAGCACGACAAGGGCCTCTCTGGGGATTGCTGCACGAATAACTCCACAGTCATCGGGGCTGAAAGGCTCTTTGAACTCCTCTGTGAAAAAAAAGAAAGAGTGCAAATGCCACAGCCGTTTCCAAACCCCTCTGGACAGTCAGTGATGATCCATTCCCACCTCCTCCAGCCCAGGGGGTGAGTCACAGCGAGCGGGGCAACACCTCCGTGCAGAGCTGACAGCACCAGGTCACTGCACCCTCCAACCCTCCCCTGCCCCGGGGGGGGGACACTTCAAACTCACTTCTGGTGCTCAGAGACCACAAAACGCCTGTTGAGTCTGTGCAATCACGTTATAAAATATGTACAACATGTATTTATTAGCCCCCACGTCGCTGCCTGCGCAGGCAGCAGCGACAGGCACAAGAGCTACTGGCTCTAAAGCTTTTTAATTGCACAATTCCAGCTCTTTACCCAGCCTGTCTCCCTCTCCTGCTGCACATCTGGGCAGCTGGAAGGCCAAAAGCACTCGGTCTGTGCTGATCAGCACCTCCAAGGGGGAAAAAGAAAAAAAAATCCCACCTCCAGGGCAAGGCAGCTGGAAGGCACCCAAAAGGCTGGTTTAGCATGAAACAGCACCTTATTTAGACAATCTGAAGAATGTTTCAGAGGGGCACCACGGCTGGGAATTTGCATAATGGGTGTCTGTATCTTGCTTACCTAACAGGAGAAGAATCCTGTCTGTCAGTAAGTCTAGACTGTGGTGTTGAATCCAGGGAATCTCCCGGCCAGGAATAACACGGGGGTGCAGGGCAGGGTGCTGCCATCTGCTGACACCCACGCTGGTGGCTGCAACTGGGATTCCTGGGGAGTCTCTGGGCCGGGGTCGCCCTGCAGAGCTCGGCTCAGCGCTGAGAGCGATGAGGAACATCCCTCCTCATCCTCCCGGCGAAACCTCTTCCCCGAGCTCCGGGGAGCCCCGGTGTCCCCGCAGAGCCTCACCCCGCTGGGCTGGCACGACCACACTTGGCCGCAATCAAAGCCCCGGGAGCCCGGTAGGTTCTTTTATTAACGGAATATCCATTAATTAATATTAAAATCAAGGCACCACAATGGAGCCCCTCGGGCGGCCCAACACCGCCCTCTGCCGCCCGCGGCGGGAACTGCAGGCGCTCGCTCGGGGGCAGTTTCCCCTCCCCAAAAAAATGGGTTTTAGAGGATTCGACACCCAAAATGCACAACTGCGTGTTTAACCGTCATTCCCACCCCCGAAAGCGCCGCTGGGACAAACACGGAAACACAGAACGGGTGGCTTTGGAGTCACATGGATCTCAGCTCGTCGGAGTGACTCAAGAACAGCAACTGCTCCCCATCATCATCATCGTCATCGTCATCGTCATCCAAGCTTCCTCCAGCCGCAAAGCAGCACCAGCCTGACCCTGCTGCTTCCCAAAGCTCCTGTGGGGAGGTCACACGCCCCCCAAAAACAGGGTGGGCTGAAACACGGGCTCAGCCTCCTGCCCCTTCGTTCCCGTGGGGGCATGAACAGAATCCAGGAACAGAATCTGGGTACTCCAGTGCTCTGAGGCTCTGGAACAACCAACTACGTGAGCAAGACACAATTTCCAGCTCTGGGTCTGTCACCTCACCAAGGCTGAGCTCCTTCACCTTCCTGGTACCTCACACAGGGCGGGGAATACGGGATTTCACAATATTTTTGATAAAAAACACAAATCACTTTATCCAGGATGAAAAGCCATTCCCGGCAGCCTCTGCTGCCCCACACACCCCAGTTTGCTCCAGCAAACCTCCAGGAGAAAGGAAATAACCTCCTTCTCCAGCTCCAGCAGCCAGAGCTTCCCCTGGTCCCACACCTCCCACTGCTGCTGACTAAGGGACACGCTCTCCTCTGGAATCCAGGGATGTGGAATCCAGGGATGTCCCTCCCTAATTAAGGAGGTGATCAGCGTTGCATAACGAGGCTCCACTTGGGCAGTGGATCACCACAGAGCAGCACCCGGAGTCAGCCCCTCCAAATCCCACCTGTGGCTGGGCAAATCCCTCAGCCAGCCCTGCTGGGGCACTTTTGGTAAAAACCAAACCACCAGTGAAGGTAAATTAACAGTGAAATGGTACTTTTGAGGGCAAAAGCACAAGTTGTCCTTGCTCACCTTCCTACTGCCACACAGCAGGCTCGGCCACCGTCCCGTCGGGCACTGCCAGGGATCCTGGTTGGCTCCTCCTGCCAAGGAAACGGGAATTCAGGAGTTCCATCATGGACACAGATGGTGCATTATCAGTGGAGTCATAATTTGGAATATTTACTCCACTGACTGCAGCTCCATCCCAGCAACACTGAGCAATAACCGCTGCACGACTCTGCTCTGACTGACATCCAAGGGATTCACTGGAAAATTAGGGATGATATCAACTATCAGTAATAACAGGGAACCCATTTTCCCCTGTTTTTATAAGCAACACCCACGACCTGGAGGTCAGGCTCTGGATTCCAGACACTGAACCTGAACATGGCACCTGAGACTGGAGTGAAGCTTCTGCTGCTGGACGAGAGGGCACTGAAATATTTGGCTCTAGATTTCACCTGGGGGGGAATCAAGGAGAGGGAGAGGTGTTTGCATCATTTTATAGGGAAATGAGGAGAAGGAGAGGTGTTTGCATCATTTTTGGGGGGAATGCAGACAGGGAGAGGCGTTTGCCCCGTTTCTGGGGGGGGGATGCAGAGTGTTTTAGCCCAGAGCCCTCTGCCTAAACACACACTGGCAAATCCAGTATCCAAGAAAACACAAAAGCAGGGAGCAGGAACGAGCTGGCCCCGAGAGAGCCTCAGCAGCACCCTGAGAACCCCACGTGCTGCCCCCCCTGCTCCCAGCACGGCCCCTTCCTGCTTACCAGTAAAACCATTGCTCAACCCTGCTGGCCAGCCCAGCTCACCACGCTGAAGTCAGAGCTGGGAGCCAGAGAAGGACGAATTCCAAGAACCCATCGAAGCTGAAATCCAACCCTGCTTGTTTTCTCCACTCGCTGTCTGAACACAAACAATTTTTATTTTTTTTTTTTTTTTAGGAAGGAGTAAAACCCACGTCACTGACTCTGTGCTGGGGTTCAGGCCAGGCCTCGCTGGCCCCTTTCACCTCCTTCTGCTCCAGATTGCAGCAAACCAAGGGGTGAGGAACAGCCCTCGTGCCAAAACAAGCATTTTAAAGGTTTTTTTGTTTTGTTTTGTTTTTTTCTTTTTTAAATGGGAATTTTCACAAATGCCACATTCCAAACAAGTGAATCGGTGCCAGCTACGCACGGAAATATGAAGGTGAGAGCAGGAAAAAAAGCTTTACTATCAAACACAGGAGCTTGGGTCAGGTCAGGAGACCAAAAAGCAGGTTTGGAATTGGGCTCAGAATGGATCCCAGTCCACCACTGAGCCATTCCTCAGGATCACAGAATCCTGGGATGGTTTGGGCAGGATTAAAGCCCGTCTCATCCCACGCCCTGCCCTGGGCAGGGACACCTTCCACCAGCCCAGGCTGCTCCAGGCCCTGTCCAACCTGGCCTTGGACACTTCCAGCCATTCCCTCTGCTCCAGGAGACTTTTCCACAGCACATGTTGATCCAAGGAGCCCCTGGAGCTGGGGAGGCTTTAGCTGGATTTGGGGAGGGCAGGTGGAGAGGAGCCCAAAACAGCAGCTGGGGCCTCGCTCGCGGTGACCATTCCTGCTGGAGCAGCACAGCCCTGCCTGGTCCCCCTGGGAATGCTGTCACAAACCCAAAGGGACCGGAATTCGGGGGAATTTATCAACAGAATCCACTATGGAGACAGGGAGGGAGCAGGGACAGGAGTGTGGGGCTGGAAAACAAGTGCAGCAGCACCTGGAGGGTCCCACAGGCCACCAGGAACAAGGGAAAACAGTCAGCCTTGAGCTGCAATCCCACCCCACTGCCTCCCAGCTCTCCCAGGTCTTAGAGGGCTTTTCCAACTCAAATTATGCCATAAATGCCAAGCTGCTGCAGGAATCAGCCACCACCTCCACACTGCAGGAGAGCTCAACACCTCAGCCAGACACAAACCACCCAAAATCCAATCTACCTTCTGACTAAACGAAGCCTTGAAGCTGCAGCTGAACCGAAACTCTGCAGTGACAACACACATTCCTTATTTGGATTGGTCTTCCTTGAAATCTGTCACTTTTGGAGCTCTGTTCCTTTCCTTCCTCTTTAAAAGCAACCCAGGGACTCCTGCAGTGCCAGTGCTTAGATTTTAGATCAGTCCCATGGCAGAGCCCCCTCCTCTCTGCAGAGCCCCCAGAGCTCCCCAGCAGCGTTCCCTGTGAACAGGCAGTGTCCACAGGAAGGGGGGAATAAACAACCCAGCAACTTTCCAGTGGAACATGATCCCATCCTCGGCTCCCCGCAGGAGCGAGCCCGTTGTTTACAGCCCTTGCAGGATCCCACTCCAGGGGCTGAGCTGTTCCTGCTCCAAGAGGGAAAACAAGCCTGACCTCAGCGTGCTGGAATAAACTCTGCCCCCTCCTTCCTTCCACGCTTCTCCCAGTGCAAAGGTGAGGAACACGATATCCCACAGCCTGACCCCACCGGTGTTTACTGACACAACCACGCCAAGGAGGGGAACTGCCTGGACACGCTCCTGCTGCCATCCACCCGGAATTCCCGGCTGGAGAAGGGCCCTCAGCGAGGCAGCTGGGCCCGGGCACCCTGAGCTGGCAGCTGAGCTCATCCCTGGCCGGGCAGGGACACTCTCCAGGCTCCTGGGGATCAGCAGCTGCAGTTTCCTCCGGGAGGGGATGTTGTGCAGCAGCAGCTCGGAGCATGAGGGTCCTGCACAGCTCAGGGAGGCTCAGCATGAGGGTCCTGCACAACTCAGGGAGGATCAGTATGAGGGTCCTGCACAGCTCAGGGAGACTCAGCCCCCTCGGCAGGAACAGCAGCTCATCCTGGGAATGTGCCACTCCAACAGGTTTGGGAAGAGCCTTGCTGTGCCCAGGACTTCGTTGTGCCCAGGCCTTTGCCGGTGCTGCCGTGGCTTCCAGGGATACCTTAGAGCAGGGTGTGGGCAGCAGGGAGGGGAATTCCTTCCCCAACTGACTGGAAGCAGCAACAGTTGGTAATGCAAAGCATCCCTGCAGCTGCCAACGCGGTCCGGGCAAGGCTGGAAGGAAATGGGATCCTCCATCCTGGCCCACCGGAACCCTCATGGTGCCAGGAACCCCAGGGGGGCACCAGGGCCCTTCCAGGAGGGACTTCCAGCTCCCTGGCAGCAGGAATTGCTGCTGTGCTCCCCTCAGACACAGCAGGTCGTGGAGCGGGTGGGGGGCCAATGCCATCAACTATTCCGGCTGGGATCCATCAAAAGCTCCGTGGAAAGATCAGGGAGCGCCCAGGAACACCAGATCCAGGCTCAGGTGGCTGCTGGGCCTGCTGCTGGGCCTTCACATTGTCAAAGGCTGGTTCAACACGTGAAAAAACCATAAAAACCCAAGGCCCTGCGTTCTGATGGGGAACAGAACTCCAGCATTCCCACCACATCCCAGGAAGCCCCATGTGCCAGGCAGGAATGATGGCTCAGTGTTCCTGACAAACTCAAGGCTCAGGGCACCTGGAGGTGTCACAGAGCCAGAGGCTCCTTTCAGGTGCCCCCTGAGCCTCCTTTTCTCCAGGCTGAGCCCCCCCAGCTGCTCCTGCTGCTCCAGCCCCTTCCCAGCTCCGCTCCCTTCCCTGGCCATGCTCCAGCCCCTCAGCGTCAGATCCACCTCAAAAGGAGAGAACCTTAATGGGATAAGCAAGGGTTTAATTCTGCTTTAATTCTGCCACTCAGCACTCCAATAATAGCAACAGATCTAGGTCCAGAGCTGGACTCGTCACATCCCTAAAAATACCCGCCTAAAAATAGCAAATTATCAAACAATTGCACCCGGGCAACCAACACAAAATATCCACGGCAAAGGCAGAGCTTTAGAGTTTTAACTTTTCCCCACTAACTCCTCCAAGGGATGAGCAGATCCTGTTTCCCTGTGCCCTTTTCCAGCACACAGCCCAGGGTTTTTGCTGGGCAACAGCTGCCACAGCCAGCACACATTTGCTTTTGGAAGCACGTTGCTAATTGGGAAGTCTGCGCTGGCAACTTGCTCTGGAACGTTTTTTTAAGGCCTAAAAAGGGAAGGCTTGGAGGAGAAGAAAGTAAAAAGGGCCTGAAAGTGCTTCACACCTCCAGGGATCTGTGCTTGAGGCTGGAGAGCTGCAGAAATCCTCTGACAGGACCCGTGTGGCCACACTTGGCACTTTAAAGTCCCTCCACAAAGGCAAATCCTGCCCAGCAGCTGCTCCTGGGATCCTCCAAGCAGAGCAGGGGGAGCACTGCTGGGAGACAGGGGACAGCCCAGCACCCCAATTTCACACCCAGGGCACCTGTCACGGGTGCTTTCATGTGGGGGAAGGTCCTGGATAAAAAAAAAAAGTAATTCAGAACTGAATTTTAAGTGTGAAATGCCTTAAACAGCTGTGGATCCGAGGAAAAGGAGCAGCTCAGCCCGGTCCAGCAGCACCACACTTCCACACCCAGCCAGGCCGGGATATTCCAAAGGATCATTCCAACCCACTGGACGCATTCCTGGTTTTTCCTCTGAGCAAAGGAGGGAAAAGTCTAAAAAGGAGCCCTGCAGACAGCATTCCATCAGCAGGAGCCCATTCCTGAGGGAAACGGGACAAAGTGACTCCTCAGGAAATATCTGGGGCTCCAGCTCTGCTCCAGCAGCACCTCCCAAAAACCCTTCCAGAGCTCCAGGGACAAGGGGCCATGGAAACAACGGGGCTCGTGCAGTGGGAATGGGGCTATTTTTAAAGGGCTGGCTTATGGGATGCCAATTTCCTGAAGCTGCTTGGAAAAACAGATTTAAAGTGTACAAACACTAATGGAACACACTGTGCTCCAGCAGCAGCTCCTTCTCCCGGGGATGCACCAGGGATGAGTTTGAGTTTCCAACCTCCCCCCCCCATCCAAAAAATCACCTTTTCCTCCTTTCAGAGGGCAAAACAGCAACCAAAAAAAAAAATCTGTGTGGCCGCAGTAAAAGATGGTTGTGAAGTTTTATCCTTTAAAAAACCCTCCAGTTTTAGCAAATGCCTCCAGCTGTTCTGAAAAGATCAAACCAGGGACAATCCCATTCCCTGCTCTGGGGACACTGAGGTTTAACACAATTAGATCAGCAACACGAGATCTTTTATATCCCTGACAGCCTCCCAAAAATTGTAGGAATTTTAAAATCTACACCAACTTAACAACTGCTTGGAACAGGAAGAGGAGGTGAAAGAGGATCCACCTGAATTCCTTACACTGTAAATACCAGAGTGGAGCACAGATGGGATGCTGAGGTTTGGAATTCCTGGAGTGCCATCACAAAAGCCAGCAGGAATTTGCTTTGCAATGTTCTGAGGAGCAGCTGAAGGCTGTAAGGCACAGCTATTCCATGGGGCTGCTCCCATAATTCTGCCCCAGCAAAACAACATCAAAACGGGCTGCTCACTTCAAATCACTAAAAACACCACAGAAAAAAAATAATCCTGATAAATCATCCATGCTTCTAAATGCATAAAGGGGGATCCTCCCCCTTTCCTTCCAGCTGGGAGAAGTTCACCTTGTTCTGCCACCATGGAAAACAGGGAAAGAAAAAACACAATGTCCTGAGGAAGGATTTGGAATCAAGGTTATAGTTTTGGTTTAAATGTGGCTGTTTCTCCTGGGATAAGTTTTCACCTCAAAGCAGCTTCTGAGGTTATTTCAATGTGCTTTCATGTTACACAAGTGCCCTACATTTTCCAGGGAGGATCAGCAATTTTATACAGCCAATTAGTTAAAAAATTAAATGCCACAATGACCCCTGGGAAACAGGAAGCTCTTGATCTGTCAGTGATTGCCAGGCCAGGGTAGCATCACTCCTGCAGGACACAAATCACCAATAAAGGGGCCTTCATGTAACTGGGCAAGAACTGAGAGCATTAAAAGCTGCTCCTAAATAACAGAGAGGTGTGTGAGAGCCCTGACTGGCACAAAAAAAATCAGAATCACAGGATAATTGATGCTGGAAAAGCCCTCCAAGGTCACTGTGTCCCCCCTGTGCCCGATGCCCACCTTGTCACCCAGCCCAGAGCACTCAGTGCCACCTCCAGTCCTTCCTTGGGCACCTCTAGGGATGGGGACTCCAAACCTCCCTGGGCAGCCCCTCCCGATGCCTGACCACCCTTTCCATGAGGAAATTCCTCCTGGTGTCCAATCTGGACCTCCCCTGGCACCACTTGAAGCCGTTCCCTCTTGTCCTGTTGTTCCCTGGGAGCAGAGCCCGACCCCCCCTTGGCTCCCCACTCCTGTCAGGTCCCCCCTGAGCCCTTCTGAGCCCCCTGGGCCAGGGAGATGCTTCCACAAAAACCTGCCTCTGGATGAACAGGGATCTGCTTTGAGAGCCGGCACAAGCCTTTCCCTTTCAGTGCTCTCAGGCCAAACGAGACAACAGAACAACCTCCAGGAGTTCTCCTTCTGTCCGGGTTTTCTCCTGGTTTTCTCCCGGATTCCTCACGTTTTGGATTCAACCTCTGGGTGCCTGTGACTCACAGCAGCACTCCAGGGGATCCCACCACATCCACATCCACATCCACATCCACATCCACATCCACATCCACA